CTTCTTCATGTTACAAACAAATGCACAAAGGCATAATTACCACCTTACCTCTTTGTGGTTAATCAACAAATAAAAGCTGGTCGTCTCGATTAGGCTTCTCCCATTTGGAAACAATAAAACAACCGGTTCCAGATTAACATCTACTCTTATTATCATCATGGAGTCTACAATAAAGAGACAAAGAAGGAATCCCCTGAAATGCAGTTCATTAACTTTTCAAAACTATCGGCAGCTAGCACTTATACGAGAACAATTCTAGTCCTGACTGAAACATGTCCCCAATTTTATTTTTATTTTTTGTTGCATTGTGGCAACATAATCGACCACCAATCACACCGTCATTCACTCCACTACTACTTAGCATTTCGATTGTAAACAAGCCAATGATGCTTTTAGCAGATATTGGCAGGTTGTTGTTCCTGATTAAATCTGCCGGTTGTAATATGAGCAGCCTCCATGTTGTGGTTGGTTGTTTGGTTGGTATACTGGTTTAATGGTTAATTGGCCATAAAATATAATGACCACCCTATGTATTTACGTTTGTTCTGGCAGATTCTTGCTATTTTTTTTCTGCTAAACTAGTTCTAGTCATTTGGAGCCTTTGTTCTTGACCATTTCCTGGTGCACGAGTGAAAGATGCGCAAATGAATCCTTTAACCTTGAAAAAACGCATTTTTGGTTTTTTTTTCAGAGAACATATATTATCATCTTGACAGTTGGGTCATGTAGCAGAAAGGCAGAAGAAAAATGGATAAGCTAAGTTGTAAATTGTGCTTGTATAACATTGTAAGGCAATTAAAGTTCTAGAATAGCTTGTAGAGGTATGCAAATTTTCGAAGAAGTAGAAAAAATTTAAAATAGGGAGATAACAGAATAAAGCTGCAGAAGGTAATTAAGAAAAAAAAAAAAACAAACAAATAAAAAGGCTGTAAGTTTGGCCGTTCCGAACTTTGAATACCCTCCACAATTTGGAACGAATTTGACAATTTTCAGAAAAATAAAATCCGTTAAAAATTCTGTTAAAATCTTAAAAATACCGAATGTAGCCATTATATTAGGGTCTATGCGACGACGTGGACCTGCATAGACAACTTACTTAAACTGCGAAATTTAAAAAAAATCGGTGAATAATGTAGCTAAAATCATCAAAAAAAAAAAAAGCCAGTAAAGAAAGTCTTAAAGTCGGGCGGGGCCGTCTTTATGATACCCTACACCACTTTGCTAATTTAGTAGAGCTCAGCATAACACGCTATGATTATAATTTAAAGTTCAAAGGACTGAATATGCCGAAGCATTTGTATCTTTTAAATTCGGACTTGTATTACCCATTTGGTGCACAATTAATTTGACATCGGATAAAGATATATATGGGAGCTATATCCATATCGGAACCGATCTCGATAAGATTTGGCAAAGATATTTCTGCATATTACGGCTGTGGGTAACAAATATAACAAATCGGATGAACAGTATATATGGGAGCTATAGCTATATCTTAAACGATCTTCACCAAATTTGACATACTAGCTTCTAGACTCAATTCGGTCGTAAGTGCCAAATTCCATTCCATTTGGACAAATATTAGACGTTTGGTGCACAATAAATGGTAAATCGGACGAAGTTATATATGGGAGCTATATACAAATCTGAACCGATCTCGATAAAATTTAGCAAATGAATTTCTGAGCGGTATTTGATATATTTCCCAAAATATTGTTCTTACAGAGTGCAATTACGGCTGCGGAGGACAAAAATAACAAGTCGATTGAACGATATATATGGGAGCTATAGCTATATCTGAACCGATGTCGATAAAATTTGGCATACTTATTTTCAGGCCTAATCTGGTTGTATCGGCCATATCATTCGGCCTGACATTACACGTTTGGTGCACAATAAAAGGCAAATCGGACGAAGATATATATGGGAGCTATATCTAAATTTTGACCGATTATCTCCAATTTCAATAGGTTCCAAACAAATCACTTGTGCAAAATTCCATCTGGATAGAACAATAAATGCGAACTGTACTTTGTTTACAAAAATACATGGACAGACGGACGGACGGACATGCATAAATCGACTCAGATCATGCATGCATTCTATGCAGATCATCAAAAGGAACTATGGGTCTATCTCGTTTAATTTTGCCCAAATGCACAAAGACATAATACCCTGACCACCTTGTGGTGTACGGTATAAAAATTATATGGGGGTAAACGAAGACGTAGCCCTCACAGACAATTTTCTATCTTAGGCTGTAGTATCTATTACGAACTTCCAATACAAAATTTGAGACATTTCCGGAGAATAATGTAGCTTAAATCATCAAAATACCGAAAATAGGGAGGTAGCATTATATGGGGTCTATACTATAACGTGAACCTACATGGCCCATTTACCAAAAGTCCTGCAGACATAATATACTTTTGAGTAAAATTTTATCAATCTAAATCGATATAGAATTTTATGCTGATCAAGACTATACAATTTTCTATGGGGTTCGCTTTTTCTGTGCAGAAAGTTCTATAAGGTACCAAAATGGTCATTTTTATTGATTAAGAGTCAGCATTTTTGAAATGTACTACAGTTTTAAAAATTTATACAAATATACATCATTTGTGGAGAGTGACCCGTTGGGTTTAGTACCAATAGTGACCAAAGAGGGTCACCATAATTGGGGATGTTTTGAAAAGTTTTACGTTCACTTTCCGTTCCGAAACATTAATTTTGAGAGATTGGTAAGCTCTGACATTTGGTATGAGGAACACTTTTGGGGTGGGCTTATGGTAACGGGTTATATATATCCTACTAGATGTTACCTAAATGTACTTAATGGTACACTTACAGCTATAAATCTCATTACTTAAATTTCAAATATCGTACTTTTGGAATAAAAAAATGTACAAAATGTACCAAGTGCGCGGAATAGATCAGGAGTCCTCAAAATTTTCATGGGTGTCATTCTTCATAGCGGGCTTCACCCTACTTTTGAGTAACCTTCTTGGCACAAATTTTAAACGCCCAGACATTGTTGTCAAACTATGTCGAGTTTTAGAATTCTAGACCTTCTCTTTCATATTTCGTAATTTTTGTACACGGCAAACGAAATTTAACAGTTTCGGGATACAATTATATAACCTTCGTCGAAATTTTAGTTTTTATACCCTACACCACATAGTGGTAAGGGTATTATGTCTTTGTGCATTTGTTTGTAACATGGAGAAGGAAACGAGATAGACCCATAGTTACTTTTGAGAACCTTCATAGAATCACTTTCTGAGTCGATTTATGCATGTCAGTCCGTCTGTCCGTCCGTCCGTCTGTCCATGTATTCTTGTGAACAAAATGCAGGTCGCCTTTATTATCCGATTGAGATGAAATTTTCCAAACAATACTTTTTTGGCCCAAGGACGAACCCTATTGAAATTGGTGAGAATCGGATCAAATTTAGATATAGCTCCCATATATATCTTCATCCGATTTCGGGTTAAATGTGCACCAAATGTCCACTATCAGTCCAAATGACCTGAATTTTGGCACACCCAGCCGAGTTCGGCCTAGAAGCAAGTATATCAAATTTGGAGAAAATCGGTTCAGATATAGCTATAGCTCCCATATATATCTTTCATCCGATTTGATCTTTAAGTCCCTCACATTCCTACTATGCAATCCACAACCGTGATATTTGGTACCAGGTATTAGATGGAGCACAGAAATATCTGTTTTAAATTTTATCGAAATCGGTTCAGATTTGGATATAGCTTCCATATATATCTTCATCCGATTTCGGGTTAATTGACCACCAAATGGTCAATATTAGCCCAAATGGCCCGAATTTTGGCACATGTGACCGAGATTAGCCTTAAAACAAATACAACAAATTTGGAGAAAATCGGTTCAGAAACAGCTATAGCTCCCATATATATGTTTTATCCGATTTGGTGTTTAAGCCTCTCACATTCGTAATATGCACTCCACAAGAATGATATTTGGTACCAGATATAAGATACAGCCCAGAAATAGCTGTTTGTAATTTTATTGAAATCGGTTCAGATTTGGATATAGCTCCCATATATATCTTCATCCGATTTCGGGTTAATTGTGCACCAAATGGCCGATATAAGTCCAAATGGACTGAATTTTAGTACATCGGACCAAATTCAGCCTAGAAGCAGGTATATCAAATTTAGTGAAAATCGGTTCAGATATAGATATAGCAACCATATATATGTTTCATCCGATTTAGTGTTTTAGTCCCTTACATTCGTAATATTCAATCCACAACCGTGATATTTGGTACCAGGTATTAGATGGAGCACAGGAATAGCTGTTTTAAATTTTATCGAAATCGGTTCAGATTTGGATATAGCTCCCATATATATCTTTATCCGATTTCGGATGATTGACCACCAAATGGCCGTAATAGCATCAATTTTGGCAAATCCGACTGAAACCAGCTTAGAAGCAAGTACACCAATTTTAGTAAAAATCGGTTCAGATATAGCTATAGCTCCCATATATATCTTTCATACGATTTGGTCTGTAAGTCCCCCACATTCGTAAAATGCACTCCACAGGAATGATATTTGGTACCAGATATCAGATAAAGCCCAAAAATAGTTGATTTTAATTTTATTAAAATCTCTTCCGATTTGAATATGCCTCCCATATATATTTTCATCCGATTTCGCGTTAATTGTGCATCAAATGGCCAATATCAGCCCAAATGGCATGAATTTTCGTACATAAGACCGAATTCAGTCTAGAAGCTAATACGTCAAATTTGGAGAAACCAGGTTCAGAGATATTTATAGTTCGTAAAATGCAGGATAGAATTAGATAGATTTTGATTTTGTACCAAATATCTCATACAGCTCTGAAATGCCCTGTATAAACCTTTTAAGAGAGCTCTACTAAATATGCATAGTGGTGTAGGGTATGCATAGTGGTGTAGGTGTAGGTTTTCCTTACTGGTTTCAAATATGTTTTGTACTCACCTTAACTATATATGCATATGTTATACTAATGGCAATTGTGGGAAATGGTGAACTCATCAGGAACCAATCTCTCGTTCTAGGATCCGATTTGTTGTCCATAAGATCCCGCCAGCCATCGTAGATTGAGGTAAGTAAATTCTGCAATAAACAAATAAAATGAGAAAATAAAATATTAATAAAATTTAATTGCTTTTTATGGGAATTGCATTTGAAATTATTCTAGAATTTGTATACATATTAGAAAATTATTATGTGTATTAGTTCGAAAACCTCCACCATTTCAAACAAGTCTGTCAAGTAAGGTAGATCAGACTTCCTTTGTGAATTAAAAAAAAAGGTGAAGTGAACTACTGTTGTTAGTAAGTTAATCGAACGTTTTTACAGCGTTTAACAAGTTTGATGGCAAATTATAGATGCAAAATTGCAATTGAGTTTATTTATTTGAATATTAGGGTGGTTCAGTGTCACAGAGAATGTGGTTTGGAAAGAAAAAATATATTTTTAATTTCCATATAACAAAAGCACATTTTTAAAAATGAAGCTGTCCAGTGAAATGGAGTTTGTAATAAAATAAATTATGAAAAAAATATTAAGTATAAATATTAATAAAATTTACGAAGGATGGAACAAACTGCAGACGAAGCCGATTATGAGGACAAAAGAAAAATTTTTTCTCGAAAATATTTTTATACCCTACACCACATAGTGATAAGGGTATTATGTATTTGTGCATTTGTTTGTAACATGGAGAAGGAAGTGAGATAGACCCATAGTTACTTTTGATGATCTCCATAGAATCACTTTCTGAGTTGATTTATGCATGTCCGTCCGTCTGTCCGTTCATATGTCCATGTATTCTTGTGAACAAAATGCAGGTCGCATTTATTATCCGATTGAGATGAAATTTTCAAAACAACATTTGTTTGGCCCAAGGACGATTACTCGTTTGAGCGTTAAAATAATACTCAAAAATAAACCTTACACTGTTATTAGCAATATTTCCGAATACGCTATATACCTTGGAATCTTTGCTTTCAAGAAAATAGATATTTAGAATTTAGAAACGAAAATTTTAAAAACTTTTCGATGAGGGGGAATTTGCCCCTATATTTTGGTTACTTTGTGATGTAAACTTTCAAAATACCAATACACTGTCTTTTATTTTTTAGTTATTCTTTCGTAAACTGGCGGATTTTTCTTGTAGTCCATTTTTTGTGTTGCACAGTATAATTAATTATTGATTTTATTACAAAATATTACACAGAATCATCTTTCAGAACTATTTAATAATTAATTATTATTTTGTTATTTTTTTTTTATAAAATATTTGTTGATATTTAATAACTACTTTTATTCATAATCTTTATGTTTTTCCCATTCCCCTTATTATAGACATATTTCCTGTTTTTATTAATGAATTACATGCTTGTATTTAAAAACAAAAATAAGTTTATTAATCATCTTTAAGATGCCGGGTGATGTACACTATAAATTGCATATTAAAATATGTTAATTTCCATTGTGGTTGCACGAACTTGTTTTAATCGTAGAATAAAAACAAACAAAACTATCATTCCCATTGTGGGATTTTTTTTTTTTATAAAAAAATATCAAATAGAAAAACAACATCTTAGAACACACATTTACAAAAAGCCTAAATAGAACGCAGAAAGTAGAGATTTTTTTTTGAAGAATAACAAAACAACATCCCAATAAATTTTAACATTTTTTTGGGGATTTTTGTTTTGCCATTCCAATTAGGAGATTATTTGTCATTCTTAAAAACAAACGCAAAAAAATAAATATTTTAAGGTTAATATTCCCCTTTTATGTCATTTTAGTAAAGCCTCTTAGAAATGGCTACATCAAGATTGTTGTTTTTGAATTGTTATTTTTTTTGTTTCAATTTCCTTTCATATAAAACTTGTACCATTTATTAAATTTACTCTAGAATCTTCCCAATGCTCTACGCATTTTGAATTTTGTTTATAATATTCCAATACTAATTAATGAGCATCTTTACTCTCCTTTCAACTGTTAACAACAACTCCTCTCTCCATTCATTCATATAATAGTTAGTTTTTTTACGGGAATGGCACTCATTGGTGTTAGTGTTATATGGGAATTCCTTTGCTTTTCAACTGTAATTCTCTATTATAAACAAAGAGGCACACACATGTGGAGACTTTTATTTGTTTTGCTTACAAACAGCAAGTATAACAGTTTGTAATACACACAACGCTCAAATCATATAATTCACTCAAAGTAATTTTTTCGCTCTCTCTCTACATTTCCCTTTGCCCAAAACAAAATATGAGCACACTCATTTCCGTTGATCAACAACATGACCTCGTCGCTCTTTCTCTCTGCCCCAATACCCACTCATTTGCTCTGCCACAAAGAGGCTGTTTTATTTTGAGAGTTAATGCCACTGTGTGTATTTTGTTGTTGCGAATAACTGCCGTTGGCTTTGTTGTTTGAATGTTTACACCGGAATTTCCTTTAGAAAAGTACAAGAGGGCGTATGATGTTTATGAATTAGAAATTTCGTTGAAGTGAGTGCATTATTTTGGCTTGGAATGAAGAAATTAAAAGCAAAATATTGTAAATGGGAACAAAACGAAAATAATTTTCGAAAAATAGAGATTTATAATGAAAATACTTTTTGCAGGCCATATAAATTCCTAGCGTTTATGTAAAATTTTGAGATTTTGGAGTTTTTTAAAAAAAAAAAAAAAAAAAAAATCAGAAAAAAAAAGAATTGATAGTACCCTCCATAAAAATTACTGTTTGAAAAATTTTTTTTAAGTTGACCGAGTCGGTGTCTCAAATGGCTTCGTCCAACTTCGTCCGACATTTCGACCGGTATTTTTTTTATTTGAACGTAATATTCGATATCGATTTCAGACCTAGATCTCCCTCACTTTCGTTGAAACTAACAAACCTTCACCACTCATCCTAAATGTTTTAATGGTTAAAAAACCAATACTTAATACTTTATAAATATTTTTCAATTTATTTTTTTTTTTGTGTTTTGCACTTGTGCGACTCATTTCAAATAAAATGGGAAAGGAAATAAAAAATCTAATTTATTAATTTATTGTTATCTCTTTAACATTTCCGTTAATTTCAGACAAAATCAAATCACCCAATTCATTTCATGTTACCATGTTTGCAAGATATAATAAAAAAAAACAAACAAATATAATGTCAATAAACTGCAACTAACTGACCGTTTAAACGACCTTCTGCCAAATTTGCACTCCCACTCATTTTCAGCGACAAATGCCAGTAGTTTTGCCATAAAATTAATGAATTTAGACCATCTTCGTTGTGAGTGGTCAATATCGGAGAGAAATATGAGGAACTTGGTAGAAAATTTGTTTTTTCTTTGGCGCATTGTTTTACATTTTTTTTGTTTTATTGGTGAAGTTAGTTTGAACGAAATATTAGTTTTCGGCATTGGTTTTATTGTCCAGTCAATGAACGATGAGAATTTCGACGTGTTTTCCCAAATCATAAAATTTGGAATGAATGAAACTATTTTTTTTATAAATGGTTTTGGCCACATTCGATTGATTGTTGGATATTAGTGGGTTAGTATGACAATATGCTGAATTATTCTAGAAGTGTTTTGGGGGAGGATTATGAGGTTTTTTAAGTGAGGTAATATTATTTCTTAACATTTAATCTTAAAAACATATTCCAAAAATTTATATTGTTTTGACTTTTGAGCGGGATAATGAAAAAAAAAACGTTACTATAAATTCCAACACATCGGGGATTTTTTTTTTCTTTTTCTTAACGAATTTTATACAAATTTAGCAAATTTATTTTTTTGGCATCTTAAAATATATATATTTTTTAGTTTCTTTATGAACCTTAATATTCTTTATAATAAAAATATAAATCATTTTTCGGTCTTAATTAAAAATAATTACATTAATCTAACCAAAAATTGCAATAATTATAAGTCAATCTTTCCTTTATTTGTTTCCATCTTTATATTCGATATATTTCTTCTCCCCAATGTAATTTTTTTTTGTAAATTATTTAAATTTTTTCCCTTCGTTTCTAGACGTTTAGATAATTATTTGCACCACGTGTCTGAACTTTGCCTTAATCCGCCCATGCTTAACAACGCAAATCATATAATTTAAATGCAAATATTTATTAATTATAAATAATTTATTTGAACAAATATGCAGTTTGAAGAAGGCGAGGAAATTGCACGTCATAATTAGGAATAAAAAATAGATTATATATTCTAATACAATCTATGACCATTATGTAAGATATTCGCCAGGAATTGCAGATTTTCTAAATGCTTTCACATACAAAGAACCTTTTTTTTTTAAACTATAAGATATTTAGTAGTCTACAGATAAAAACAAAGTTTGAAAAATCCCTCATACCCAAAATGGTTATATCATAATTTATATATCTTAGGACTGTCAACTATTTAAATATTGATGAGATCCTATGGAAAATAATAGTTACAATGATAATATTAATAAACAAGTAAAAAAAATTAAGTTCGGTCGGGCCAAACTTTTAATACCCTCCACCTTAGGGAAAAAAAACATTAGAGCCTATATACCAATTTTTAGACATATTCATGTGAAAATGTGCCAAAAGTCATCAAAATACCGAATATCGGAAAATTCGGCTATATGGGGCTATACAAAAACGTGGACCTATACATACAGTGTTTCGCCAAAAGAGCTAGAACCCATTAAGACCAACAAATACCAATTTCTAGACAAATCCGTGAAAAATTGTGGCAATAACCATCAAAATACCGAATATCGGGAGGTACCGTTATATGGGGGCTATACCCAATCGTGGACCCATGTATGCTTTGTTTCGCCACCGGAGCTGGAACCTATTATGACCAAAAAATACCAATTTTCAGAGAAATCTGTGAAAAATTGTGGTATAAATCATCAAAATACCGAATATCGGAAGGTACCGTTAAATGGGGACTATTCCAAAACGTGGACCGATATATCTCATTTTCAATACCAACCATCCTACACACAATACAAATTGCTCTGCTAAATTTTGGCGCTCTACGTCAAATATTGTGGGCTGTATCGTGATTTCAACAGACAGACGGACAGACAGACAGACGGACA